AGAAGATAATCAAGAAATTACAAGAATAGAAAATAGTATGGTGACATTAAAAAAATTTCTTCTCAAGAACCACTGTGCCAGAACACCTAAAACTTGTTGGTTGCTACCTTCAGTAGTGTATGTAGAGGCTGGCACAAAAGGGAGTCAAAGTTTTACAATGGAATCTCCTCAAGAAAAACTGGACCAGAAGAGTTAAAACTCATGTGGAGGCATATTGGGATAGTGTAGAATCTAAATTGTTTAAATCATGTTCCCTGAGAGTAGAGTGAGACCATTAAAGGGAATCGAAGATTTGCAATGAAATATATAACAGGAAAATCTTCTTTATAGACGCTCTTTTTGATAAGGTCTTTGACCTATTGTGCCAACCTTGGTGATTGGCAATTTATTTTTTTCTATAATTTCACAATTTTGAAAGAAGCATTCTTGCTGATAATTTTTTTCTATATGATCCCTTAGAACCCGACCCAAACTCTTTACCCTCCCTCGAATTTCAAAAATATGGTACAACACTCACAGATTCTCATTTTAATGTTTACAGATTGACTGTACCAATATATAAACTAGGTCGTATTGTTTGCGTAAAGCTTCAACTAAGCATGTTTTACTTGTAGACATAAGTAACTTTCAAATAAAGTATCCATAATATAAACTTACACATTTTACCACCCAGTGTTTTAGTGTTGTCATCAAAATCCAGAAATAAACATACATCGAGGTACGTGCCATGGACATGATGGACATTTGTCTTGTCTAATGTCTTGATCCACATTTGTGATCAGTCTTTGTCGCTAAAAAGCTTTTAAAAAAATCAAAAATCCCAAAAACTAAAGGCAAGCCTTTATAAACGAAAACTAATATGGCGGACTCACAAGTAAATTCTTGAGTACAGACGTCCGTGAATCAGATTACCTTTTATTGTGCACAGTTTAGTAGAAAAAGATAACAACCTAAACTGTGACATAAATGAGACACTTGTTTTGAACAGTGTTTCGGTAAAAAAAAATCAATATTTTAGAAGAGTTAATGCATTAATTCAGGGTATCAAACTTAGAATATGCACATAAAATTATAAAAAAGGAGAAAGCACTTTTGCATTGTTTAAAATCACCTATCTGTGGAGGTGACATTAACAATTTTGATAACACGTTATGCTGATACTTGTCTTAGCTTTTTGTTACAAAGTACTCAGAAGAATAGGCTAATTTATACAAAACAGTGTGGAGTACCATTTTACATGAATATACATAAAATATTTAACTGCGACATAAGTAGTTCGAATTATTACTGCAATGAATTATTGATTTTGTCCTTATTGGGATTTTTTCAATACAGGAAAGGCAGTTTTCTTAGTCATCTATGCATAATAATGGATAACCTATTTCATGATATCGCAGTAAGTTACTTACATTTGATTGAAATGGAACACCATTCTTCAGTTTATTTTGTTTTATACTCTCAGTTTGCAAAACTTATGATTTCTGCGATTTTTTTTTCCTTTATTCTTTTTTATCATTTTCATTTAATATGCCTAATATTGCAATACATGAAAAGTTTTCTGACAAAGTATATATTCAAAGTCATTTTAATCATGACAATTATAGGGTTTTTTAAAATAAAAATACAACATCCGTTCTGCCCTTATGGGGGCAATATTGATTTTCCAATTAATACATATGGATGTTCTATATTGTTTGTTAGTATATAAAAGTGTATGTAACAAAACAAAACAGAATAAGTTGAAAATGACTAGTAATAAAAAGTTAAAATATAAAACATTTGAACATGTGCATGGTGTGTGGTAGAAAAGTGAAGCGTCTTTCCGTGAATGCATGTCGGGATCCGACTTCTGAATACAGATTTCAACTTTTGTGGCAGCAGTGAGAGATACACAAACTGTTTTTCTTTCACATTTATCTTTGTATGTCCTAAGAATTGATGATTTGTTTTTCTTTGCTTCTCCGTAACAAAAGAAAAACTAGTGCTTAAGTTAAGTTAATATACATTATATTGGTTGTTTAACGTGTTGCACGTGCTCGCTCTTGAAAGCACGTGCGCGCAAAAGGACCTTCGTTCGGCAAATCTACATAACATCCCTACTGACCCTTAAAAGGTTTTACCTAAGTCGGATGTGAAGTTTACAAGATCACTCGTGGACTAGATTTTCCCAGGAAGAAGAAAAATAACTAGATGAGATCTCGTTGCAAGCAACGAGTAGGTCTTCCGACCGACTTTTCTCCAGCGAGCAGAGCAATCAACTTCTCGGATTGAATAAATCATGAGACAAACCATTTATTTGGTTTTAGTGCTCAACATCTAATTTTGCTTTTATGGTATCTTTTAAACTTAGCAAAACACTACTTTATGAAAAGTAAGGTAAAGGTCAAAAAGGTCAAGGTCAAAAATGGTGATGTAGTTAAATGGCTCTCATCAGTATTTAATAAAGAGTGAAGTTTTTAATAAAGAGTGAAGTTTGATAACACCATCTTGAATAGTATGCTTAAAACTGAGCTAACCATTAATTTAAGAGAAATGGGGTCAATGTCAAAATATGTTGACAAAATTGCATAGCTCTCGTTAATATCTATCAGCATATGTATCATAGAGAGTTTCTTTGAAACTGAGATTTGAACTGAGCTAAATGCAAAGTGTGACAGAAATACAGCAGACAGACATGACAAACACTATGTTGCCTGCAATATTCCTGGCCGTGCATAAAAATCACTTCTTTTTGCCAAAACAAAATCTTTTTGCTCTTAAGTATGCTTTATTAGATAACTTTAAAAATAAATATCAACAAATAAGTAATTTAATAGAATTAATGAATCATCTCTGTTAAAGATATCATTACTGAAAAGACGATTTTACATATGTAGAACATACTTTTCCATAAACGTTAAAAATTGAGAAAATATTGTCTCTGAGCAAGGGAATTTCTTGCATTGCAGCTCTTTCTTTCTGGATTTTAAGACTCATACATGTTCTTTTCAATGATGTACATTGTCTGTCATTATATAAATATGTACGACAATATATTCAGGTCATAAATATCAAAACCATAATATGTGTACACCATAATCACTGTCTAGTTAGTAGAGTAATTCCTTATATTTACAATTCATTGTAAAATGAAATGGTCAATTTAAGGGTACTTACCACAAACAAAAAATGGATGCGCGGGTTGATATATATTTTTTGACTAATTTTGATTTGCAATGACAAAAATAATAAATCCCTGAAATATAAAGAAATCGTAGGTTTTCCTTGGTGCTTGGATTTGAGATTTTATTTTGCCTTCTATATAATTCCATACAAAATTTTGCACATTTTTTTAACTTTATGACAAAATTATTCAGGTTGTCAATTTAAATGAAAATCTATGAGAAATAATGCTGATTTCTGAAAAAAGTTTGTCTGTGCTATTTATCCTAAAATTATTAGAAAATGCAGAATAATAAATTACACAAGGTCTCTTATATTAATTTCAATAGTCCCTGTCAACTGACATCAAAATTAAAGACAGAAGCACAACATTTACATGCATTAAGCCTTCCTAAGCTCCTGACCTATTGCTTGGTGAAATTAAGATTCCGGTTGAATGATCAAATAATCAACTTGACTAACTTTTAGAGTTATCACTGATCACAGAGAAAACCAATAGAAATATTTAGCAATATATTGTAGTTTGATAAAAATAAACTCAACAATGTTATAGTTACAATGCTTATAATAAAAAACACATTGGATCATGGGGACTGTCAACAGACTTGCATGTACCGTATGTTAAAATAGATAATTTATCTCCATGACATTTGGAGGTACACGTTTGTAACACACAAACAAAGAAATAACTGTGCACAACTAGTAAATTAAAAACATATAGGATATAAGACAAGAGGCCTGAGGCCACAGTGCTCACCTGAGCAAATCGGCTAGGAAAAAGCAATATCAGATCAGAACTGAAAGTTTACTAAAGGGGGGGGGCTTGAATTTTAACTTTTAACACCCCAGGGGATCATGATTTGAACGAAGTAGAATCAACACTACATGAGTATGATTCCATATAAATATTACTAATTATGGCTTTGAAGTACGTGAAAAGAAGATTTTAAAAGGTTTCCCTATATATTCCTTTGTAAAACTTTGGTTGGCCATTTTGACCCCACCCTAACCCCGGGGTCATGATTTGAACAAATCTGAATCTACACTACATGAGGATGATTTCACACGAGTTTCATCTTTCCTGTCTTAATGGTTCTCGAGAAGAAGATTTTAAAAGATTTTTCCCATATATTCCTATGTAAAACTTTGATCAGCCATTTTCGCCCCACCCTAACCCTAGGGGTAATGACTTGAACAAAGTTGAATCTACACTACCTGAGGGTGATTCCACCTGAGTTTCATCTTTCATGGCCCAGTGGTTCTTGAGAAGAAGATTTTTTTAAAAATATCATTAATTTTTCTCTTATTCATAATTATCTCCCCTTGGAAAAGTGCCTGGCCCTCCATTTGAAGAAACTTAAATCCTCTTTCCCCAAGGATACTTTGTAGCAAGTTTGGTTGAAATTGGCCCAGTGGTTCTTGAGAAGAAGACGAAAATGTGAAAAGTTTACAACGACAACAATGACGACGACAACAGACAAATTTTGATTCAGAAAAGCTCACTTTATCGTTTGGCTCAGGTGAGCTAAAAATACAAGTAGTAAATAAACATTAACACCCTTGAGAAAACTTGGGGTTTATAGGTTAAATATGGACAATATTAATGACGTTAATCAAGTTAATGCATATCAGTAAAACACTATACCATTGATATACTTCATCAAGAGACTGATCAACTTTCTGATGTTGGCATGTCTGCATTAGTCATATTGAAAATACCTTTTAAAATTTCTTTTCTCACAAAGGTCAACGCTATCTAAATACATAAACAGATGGTTTGAGTTCCAGGTGATGTCCTGTATGCCATTGTTTTCCTCTGTGGTCTTTCGTTGATGAAATGATGTCATGGATGCGATTGATATTCCCTAATAGATCAGTTGTTGATGGCACCAAGATTCCTGGTAGAAGAGCAGGGTCAACACTTGAATCAGTGTTAGTGCAATTGAGAACAATAATACACATCTTTAATAAATTCTGAAATGATCTTTTCTGATCACCTATTTTTCGTGGTTCAATGTTACTGTAATAACAGTGCTCTTTCACAATCCAAGATAGCTTTGACATGATTAGGGCAAGTTTCCTTGTCTGAAAAAAAATATAAAATACCAGAGGAGAGGTTAGCTGGCTGAGATCAAGAGTACAATAACCAAACTCTGATATATTTCAGTTAATTTATACTGAGTATTGAGTGATATAAAAAATTGCTTACATTCAGAATGTTGTAATATATCATCAAAATCCCTATCGTAAAGATCATGCAATATTATCGTATGAGGCATTACTGTTACTTACCCTGATGTCACAACTGTTCCCTTTTTAGTTTCCTTGATGATTTTCCCTCCTGTGAAAGTATTTCCTGAGAAAAGGCTTTGATTTGGGCATTTCAACACTAAAGGAGTTGTTCATGATAATTGTTTGGATTATTCCTAAAAAAGATTTTTTTTAAAGGGGACATTCACAGTTGTGGTACATTTAATATACACCAGCACATTACATTGTACACCTGTACATTCCATCATAATCTAATGAATATTGTTCATTCACATTATTTTGATAATGAAGCTATGATTATAGCATAAAATTATAGAAAACTGTAAAAAATAGAAAAACTTTGTCCAAACTTCTCTGTTTAATTGCATACCGGTATATAGAAACCATTTACAATTTATCAACACTGAAACTATTCTGAATAACAGGGTTTAAAAATAATAACCTTTATGTATTGCATATTTGTATTAGTACATGTATTTATATAATTATAGGAAATAAGACATACTTTTCAAAGTATTCTCCATCCTCAACTTCATGAATTCAACTTCTGAATCAGCAATCTATAAATATAATTGAAACATAATTATGAAGGATAATTTATTTCACATATATTACATTAAACTTTGATCTCCAATCGTGGCCCCACCGTGCCTTCGGGGTCATGTTTTCAACAAACTTAAATCTACACTACCTGATGATGTTTCCACATAAGTTTCATCTTAGATATTTGAATAATGTCACCATTTTGGAGGAGCAAGAGAACAGAATCAAGAAATTTAATTTAGTATACTGAGAAGAAAAATGAGACCTTTGCCCTGTTCACATGACAAGTTTAATTCGTAGTACCTAAATCAATGCAAAGTAACTTAATGCGAATGAAATTGCATTCATAGTGAAGTAATCTAATGTGAATTAAAATTCTACTTCTACAGTCAGGCATTAGTAAGGCTATTATTACATCATTTGCAAATCACGTCACAATATATGAATAATTATGGGTAAATTACACTCATGATACAAATGAAAATTTCCTTGAAAGAAACAATTGTACATGCAAAGCTTCATTAACAGGTACTACTTTGATCCTGCTATCATTTTAAAGTAATATAGTCAAACCTCATTATGTGGAATACTATGGGGCCAAGTAAAAAAATTGACTCTGAAACAGAGAGAAAGAGAAGTTTTAGACCTTTATCTTACTTCTATATTCATGGTTTTTGAGGTTGGTGTTCTATGATACTGAAGTTCAAATATAATTATTACTTCACTCTTTTATATGAGTCTTAATCTTTTTTTTAGGTTTAGAGATAAACTGTTTAGCTTTTGCACACAATAGCATTGCACTTTTGAATTCATGTTCATCTAGACTTTCCATCTCTATGCTTATTACAAACGTCAGGGGTGGACGAAAAAGTCACAAAGAACGAAAATCACTTTGCTGTAAAACCCCAGTCACATTTCCAAAAACGACCAACAGCCGACGGGTTTTGAAGCAAAAATGGGATTCTTCGACTGACAGTCGTTAGCTCATCAGCCGTTGTCTTGGCCAATTTTGACCTCTTTTTTTGTCGGCCGACCAATTTTGTGTCCATCGGTCCAAGTTATAATTTTTTATGTGTCAGTGGCTGATTCTTTCAATTTAAGTTATCCAACCTTTGATCATCGTCTGACCATTGGCGGTTAGTTTATCAAGTTGGTCATCTGTCGTTGGACAATAAGGGTGTTTAAAATTTTGGCCAATACTTAAAATCAAACTGTAGCACAGAGCTCGATGATCGCACAACAATTGGCTGGCTTGTGAATATTTAAACTAGTAAGGATATATAACACAAACAAAATTTTAATGCATGGATTGATATAAAGCTCTTGAACGGAAATAACAAGAACAATTAATCCGTAAGATATAAAGAAATCTAAAGTTTACTTTGCTGCTTAGATAAACACCATTTGTCGTTTTTATGCAATTCCATAAAAAATGTTGCACACATTTTCAACACTGAGTCACAATTTAAAAGATTCTGCCACTTTGCCTTGCAAACAATACTCACGTCACCTATCTGAATATAGATCTATGGACAAATATTGCTGAATTCTACTGAAAAAAGATATTTTGTGTTATTTATGCAAGTCATTGGTGTCCCTAGGAAATAATGTGACTGCTCCGTGTAACCCGATGCTGTATCGGCCAATCATGTTCTTTCAGCTGACAAGACCAGAAAAATTTAGTCGATCGACCATCGGCTTTAATGTGACCTAGGCATAAGTGTCAATTGAATATCTGTTATTTGGGTACTGTATTGTTCTTACTATCAACTTATTATTTATTTCTTAAATAATTTTACAATAATTGCCTCATGATAACTGTAATAAGTTGGAAGTAGTGACACATCAATATGATACTCTTGAAGGCCATACACATAAACATGATCAATGATTGTCCTTCCCTCTGTTGTTGGGAAAGTAACAAGTTGTTTAAATCCATGATCATTCAAGAATTTTTGAATTGTTCCAGTGTCATCTACAGCATTTTCATTAAAGTCCCCCAGTATAATACAATTTTCGCATTCTCGTTTGATGAAATTTGTGAGCTGCTCAAGTGATGATATGAAGAAGTCTTTTATCAAAGAGCTGGGTCTATATACTGTAAAAACTGAGATGTTTTCTTGAAAAACAAAAGCAACAACTTCAATATTTGGGACAGAAATATCAATTTGTCTTGCTTCTTCACCATCATGGATATATGTGCCAACTCCCCCTCCATTCGAGTTTTGAATCTTGGAATAAAGCTCCTTAGATTTGTCATATGAATTCTTCCTCAATGTGTGCATGAATCTAAAGCCTTGCAGTGAGAACTGAACTGATGACTGTTCTTGCAACCAGGTCTCTGTCAAACAAATAACATTTGCTTTTTGAAATCGTGTATCTGATTTCATCTCCTTGAAATTTGCTGGTAAGCCTTGAATATTGTGCAATACAATTCTCTTGCAGTCAGATTCAGCCAAGTTTGTGGTAATTTCAAGTTTTTGCATCTTACAAACTGCATTTTTAACATCTGGGTCTGCATATATTTTTCTCCGAAGTAAATTTTGTATGTCACCTTGGGATGTTTCAATATGCAATCCTTGTTTTGATGTTACCCGACTAAGAGCTACATATGCTTGTCCTGGTGAAAATACTTTGTCTAGATTCACAACAATTTCATTTGTTGTCATACCTTGCACTTTGTGTGCTGTGCACGCCCATGATAATTGCAAGGGAAACTGATGTCTCACAACACTTTTAACATGCTTTTCATTTATCTCTTCATCTACTCTTTCAATAAGCACCATGACACTGTCAGAGTTAATTTTCCTTCCAATTTTTTTCCCAACATCTTTGTTATCAAAAATAACTCCAATACTGCTAACTTCTTTCTGTGCTCTGTTTGCATATTGGATCTCAGATATGAATCCCATTACCCCATTTACAAGGCCATCATCTACGTCAATATTTCGAGTCAGCATAACACGTGCATTATGTGCTAAAATTATTGACATTGGTAGTCCTTCTGCTTTTTTCTTTGCAATGGGATTCTCTCGCAGGTTTAATTTTCCTGAAGTTTGATCTTTTTGATAATCCTTTGCATTTATTTCAACAAGCTCCAGACATTTTGTGGTTAGCATTGAAAGGTTGTACTTGTTTACTTCTTCATTGGTTGCATACACATGAAGTGCATCTTCTGACCCTTCACTGACACTCTCTAATAACATTTCTGCCACATTTGGTTCTAAATTCTCTTTGCTTGTTCTCACCCTTAAACTATTCAAAGCTTCTGCAAAAGTGGCATCTTCACGTTGTCGCATAATTTCATGTAATTCAACAACTTTGAATAGCTCCTTCCAGTAATCTACAGGATAAGTTGAACAGTCATTGTACAGTCGCTCAGTTTTTTTCTGTTTGACAGGAGGTAGCTGATAGAAATCTCCTACAGCAATAACTGACACACCTCCAAATGGGAGTTTGCATTTTTTAATTTGTACAAGACGTTCATGAACATAATACAGTAAACGTTTGTACACCATTGATATTTCATCAATGATTAATATTTGCAAATCTTCCAACTTCACTCTGATGGAACTAAGGCGTTGTTCTTGTAGAGGTTCATAAGGAATTGGCAAGTACTTTGTGAGGGCAAATGCATGATGCAGTGTGGTTCCTCCTATATTAAATGCCGCAGTACCAGTCAATGCAGTTAAGAGAACTGAGATACTTTCAGGGTTGGTTAAAGTTCTTGAAAATAATCTGCTTGCTTCATACAGAACAGTATTAATCAAGTGACTTTTCCCTGTTCCAGCACCTCCTGTTACAAATATATGAAATGAATTAGGTTTTCTCCATGGCATTTCTGTAGGCACCATTCTCGTACAAAATAGAATATCTCACTCTGAGTTGCATTTAAATTACGGAGCAATGGCAACATTTTTTGGCGTGAATGAGCTGCATTCTGGATCTGGTACAAAAGATCTGCATTATGATCAATATCTTGCAAATCTGGAATATCTTCTGCTTCCCCTTGGTTTTGCAGCTCCTGAGACTTTCTTTTCATGCAGTTCTCTCTGCTCTCTTCAGTCTGAGGACAAAGTAAAGCCCAGGCGTCTTCAGGTTCTCCTATAATCTCATAAGTTTCTTGTGCTTGGTCAAGTACATCTTCATTCTTGCAGTAGATCTGCTTGTTCATATCAACAATTTCCCTCACCATTTTCACTTTTTTATCTGATTTCAAACGTACACATCCACTTTCATAAAAAGTCTGAAACAATTCATACTTAGGTGGTTTAAGTTGGTCTTCTTTCCAATAAGGAAGAAAAAGCTGAAGTATTGATTGGTAAAATTTTTCAGGCATTTTCTCTTTGTTGAATCTAGGAAATCTAATAATAGCTGGCTTTGTCCTTGTTCTTTTTTGAATATAACCTTTTCCATTTTGCAATTCAAAGATTCCCTCTCGAAGGTTCGAAGGAACTTGTGATTTTGCTAGGACTCTGTAATCAGCGCAGATTGTTGCAAGGCACATATCAGCAAATTCCTGCAATTTAGGACGGTTTTCATATCTTTCTACAATATTGGTCATCCAAATATCATCTTCATCATCATCATCATCGCCAGCCATTTCTTTGCTTTTGTTCATTTGATGTAAGGGTTTACTAAGTCTTGTTGGATTTTCTCCGACAGGAATAAATGTAACCTTCCTAGAGCATTCCTTCATTTTGAGATTACACACTCGATAGACTGCCTCTTGTGCGCTTACTTCTCTATGATGCAAGTATGCAGATCCAATTTTTTTCATTGTTTGTCGTGCACTAAGATTTCCTTCCTCTGCTTCATTCTTTGTCTGCTTTAATAGCATGCCCATTTCTCGTTCTGACTTTGAGATGTATGAAATAATGTACACAATGCAACTGAATGGGTCCAACACATACTGAATGTCTAGATTAGCATCCCAGGATTTTAAGAGACAAGGGTTGTACTGATTAGTCCATGCTTCAGAAGGTTCTCTTTGTAAAACAATGGTCTGCTTTGAGGTTATAATGCTGTATGCGTCTTCAAATAATTCTTGAGAGATTCCAAGTTTGTAAAATATCTCTGTTGAAGATAAGTTTTGAGTTGGATCTTGAATGTTTTCCCATACTTTTTGCAAGATTGCCTTTGCATCATTTCTTTTTAATACCAAGTTTCCATTGCTTTCATTTTCTGTGTCCTCTTCAAAATTTCTAGGCTTGGCTAAGAAAGTTTTTTTGGATGGTGGCCTAGGGAAATTAAATCGACAATCAGTACCTTTCTTCCTGCAGGATTGTGAATGTTTTTTACTGTGTTGTTGCACATCTTGGACAATTTTACGCAGTTCTGCATCTTCACTCTCAGAGGGTATTTCACATGTGACATATCTATCAATGAACTCACATACAGCATCTTCACCATCTTCGTCCAATTTAGGTGCTCCCTCTATCCAAAACAAACAATGCATGTGGGGTGAGCCTCTTTGCTGAAACTCTACTCTCTGGAAATAATCAATCACTTTTCCAATGGGTTCTGATGGTGACATAATTACATCATGTAGAAAAACATGAAATCTATGTTCAAACATACGTGCCACTGTCACAGGATTACTTCTTAAAACTTCACTTTTCTCTGTCCAGTCTAGGTCTTCTGCATGTCTGTCATCGCACTGTTGGCGTAAAATTGCATCTATTGTTGTATTCCATCTGAACTCAGCAGCAGAAAAAGAACAGAACCAAGTTGGAATACCTATTTGTCGTAACATGGCAAAGAGATCCTTTTGTGCTGCTTGCCAGTATGAGGGTGTTCCCCTTATAGGCTGCATAAATCGCAATGCATCATCATTTCTCAACAATTTTGCCAATTTATAAACATCTTGTAATATTTCTGAGGTTATCTTTTGTCCTGATGTAGTTTTAGCTGAAGATTTTCTGACAGATATTTGAGTTTTCTCTATTACTTGATTGAGTTCAGACATGTACTGGCAGAAAAATACATAATTTGAATCCTTTGCATATCTGTTGTCGGCATTCATCAGCCTATTGTGGAAGTATCTACTGAGAGTGATTTTAATATCCCTATTCTCATTCCATGAATTTTCTCCTGTTGGAAATAGATATGGAAATGTCTTAGCTTCATTTCCTTCATCCTGTAACATTCTTACTGGATTTTTTCCTTCCCCTGGAGCTAGATTGAACACATCATCAAAATAATGATCTAACACTTCCTGAACCACATCTATAGGTTGTAAGCAGGTGTCTAATGCAATGGAAGCTGCAGGTGGATCCTGATCATCAGTATCTTCAGTTTCAGACATTGGCTGTGATTTGTCTGCTTCTATCAAACAGTCATCCTCTGCTGACACTTCCCAGTTCATATTTAATTGTATGTCCTTGTACCAGATGTTGTTCTCCATTAGGAAGTTCAATGCTTTGATCACGTGGTGTGGATTCACAAACTGATATTCTTGATATCCTTTAAATGACAGCTTTCTTTTCAATTTTACTCTCAGAAGCATGGTAGCATCTGCTGTTCGTGGTAAGCTGGATGCTTTGTTTAAATCTGATGGTACACAGACAACTGGACCATGCACATTCTTTTGTCTTCCTTGAGGTAAGTTCATGACCTTCATGAATGGTATGTGTATGGAGATTAATTGCTTTTCTAAACTATTTAAAGTTTTGAGTTCCATGGGTACTGGTGGTACCTTCATTCTGTTTACAGCTGCTTCTGCAGAAATTTTCCCTGAGAGTACTTTATGATGACACGTTCTGCAAATCCATAGGGATGATCTTGTGCATCCTTGATGACAATTCATCGTGCAGTCATGTAAATAATCCTCTTGTACACACATTTTGATCAATTCTTTTGCACAGTCTCTGCTCTCATACGATTTGCTTTCAAAAATACGCACCTGATTTTGAAATAATGTGCGTTGACAACAGCAACAAACATACTCTGGACTTTCACATGAATTTTGTTTAAACTTGTTAATAACTTCAATTTCATTTTGCAGCTTCAGAAAAGCTTCCCTCTTTCTTTCTTTTACTTGATCTTTTTTCTTTCTCTGAAATTTTTGTCACTTTTGTATTTTACCCTACAATTCTTCAGAAAAGCCCCCTTAAACTGAAGATTTTTGTATCGTTTAGCACTAGTGGCTTTCACATTCTCTCTGTGCATCACATTTATTTTATATTTCTCAGTGCTTCTCTCCATAACATGCTGCTTATGTTCAGGGTTTGTTTTGTACTTGTGTATGCTAGCCTCTTTCACAGTTTCTCTATGTTCAGGGTTTGTTTTGTACTTGTGTATGCTAGCCTCTTTTACAGTTTCTCTATGTTCAGGGTTAGTTTTGTACTTGTGAACACTAGCTTTTTTCACTGTTTCTTTATGTCCAGGGTTCATTTTGTATTTCTGTTTACTTGCTTCTTTTACCTTTTGTTGATGAGATGCACAAGTTTTATATCTTTGAATGCTTTCAAACTTTTTCTTTAACTGGTATTTTGGATTGTAAGAATACATCTTTTTGTTGATTTTCTTACTTCTCGTTTTCACGTTTTCTTTAAATTGCAGAGAGTCTCTATATTTTTCATAGTTTTGCTTTGCGTGATGAATAACTGTCTTCCTGAAGATTGGGTTATCTTTATATCTCATCCTATTTCTTCCTAAAGCCTTCTTTCTTTCTTCAGAACATTTTTTGTATTTCCACTTCTTTTTCTCAAGATATTCTCTGTATTTGTTCTTCTTCACTTCCCTTTTTTTAGCATATGACAGTGGAGTTGAAAAGCTGCTTAAACTAGGAGAATCTGAAAAGGGTGTTTTCTCCTGCTGTGATACAACTACATTATAATGATTTTCATTAATGTGGTGCAAATAGAATGAGCCTCTGTTAACATGGCATCCTGATTCTACTTGTTCTCCTGAGTATCGTAACCATCTTCCTTAGGAAAATGTGTAGACGTCAATTTGCAGCATGTGAGCAGTGGCTATAAGTTCTAATTCAGATGCCCATCTTCCATTTTCAGACATTTTTGACATTTCAAGATAGGAACTTATTGTCTGCCTACTGTCTCTTTGAAAGCCCTTAAAGAGAAATCTCTTAAATGAAAGCCGAATTACTGAAAAAGCAATTCAGTAAGAAATTGCCCTGGAGCAATATCTTTCACAAGAACAGATTGTTCAGCTATCAAATCAGCATAATATTTAGCTTCAATCTCTGAAAATTCGATACCAAGTTTATGACAAATATTCTTCTTAATCTCCATATCAACTGCTGCAGAAAGAGGAGGAAGTTCATTCCCTATGTTCTCATTTTCAGTATACAGGTAACATAACTCATCTGCATTGCTACCATCTTTCCCACCACACTGTGGCAATTTCTTCTCTACATCCAGAACAGGCAGATCAACTTCACATTTATCACTTGGCGACAGTGCTTCCTTTGTTGTAGAATCACATTTGTTAACAATAATCTGTTTTAATGAACAATGCACACCGGTAATCTCACAATCAACAACAGCTGAGTAACCCATTGACAATGCTAATGACCAAATGTGTTCATAAATTTCTTGAAATGTCTGATAAAGCAACCTTGTGCTTTTTCCAGTTACACTCAAAAGTCCTTGTGAAGATCTTGAGTGTGGATCAAATGTGAAGAATCCATTGTCAGTTTTCCCAACTAGAAAAGCATTTCCACCAAAACACACAATACACCCATTGGTATCTCCAAGTGATAGCTGCAATGCATCTCTAAGTGAATAAGCAGAGAAATCATCATAGCATACTTCTGCATTTGATAGATTTATTACACTTGCAATTGATTCATTTGCTTCAAATTCAAACATTCTACCAAAACACTCAAAATACTGAGGCAGCTCACTAACTAACAGATACCTGCTTTTGATTGTAGAACTGCGTTGCAAGTAGGTGTATAACTCATCTCCTGTTGCTAAAACTTTGTTTATGTCTGCTCTTTGCCAGTACTTTGCATTTTTAATGTTGTGATATGCAATACCAGATAAACAATTTGCAACACACTGTGTTCCTGCATTTTCACCAAAAATCATTTCTCCCTGGTGAAATGAACCTTGAACTACACTAAAGCTGCTCGAAATTTGTTCATTTTCATAACTGATATTTTCCTCTTCCTCATCATTTCTGTCATGGTCAATATGCTGACATTTTTGATTTACATGACTCTCAAACATATGTTCACAATTTAAATACTTCTTTTTGATACACTGATTCTCATTTTGTTTTCTTTGGTTTTCATGTTTCAAATTTTCTCGAGTTTGATTTCCATGTTCTATATGTTCTTGTGTCTGATTTTCATTCTCTTTTTTCATATTTTCATGTATCTCACTCTTTTGTTTCTGAATTTTATATCTTTTATTTTCAACTTCCTCAAGTATCTCAATTTCATGTCTTTGCTTATTTTGATCTTGATCTTGGTAATCATATTCATTCTCTAGTTTCTCCTGATATTCGTTCAAAATTTCTTTGGTATTCGTTTGAAACTCAGTTTTAAATTCAGTCAAGCAGCCCTCATCTTTTTTTAGTACCCTACTGGTCTCCTCCGCCCTGGAGGTATCCAGCTGCGCCTGACCTGCTGGACTAGGCTTAAAGCCATCATCATGCCCAGGTACCCTCGGTGGAGTACAAACCCACGGTGGGGAGTCAGGGGACGGTGCCTTGTCCTTGTTGTTGTTGCGGACAAACAGACGACTTCCCCGAGGAGATGGCAACCTCGGGGCATTTGAGTGCATTTTCACTCGAGGTGAGGCCTGCACCCTGGCCAAGGGTTTTTCCTCAAGAGGAGGTAACCCTATAAAACCTTGCCCCAAAAGAGTTTTGGGTGAAGCTGTCTCATCTTCTACACAGTGACTGGGAGTGGCATCTGAGTTCTTATCTAAAGACACATCAGATAAAGACTGGGATGCCTTTTGTCTCTCCTCCCTTTTTCTCAGTTTGGCCTTCATATGTTTGTCTCGGCCAGTAAGACTCTTTCTTTTTGGCATCTGTAAAACATAAAGCAAGAGACACATTATGATTTATCAAGAAAGACTCATAGGCAATACTTAATTGACTGGAAACTCTCTATAACATATTCTTTTGCCAGATATTGGAAACTAAGTTGCTGAAACATCTCATCTAAAGTATCCAGTCCTATTGAATCATGTATAACCACATACATGTAATGTAACAAGAATCATACGGGCCACAAAACTCGCCTTACTAACTTTGCTGTTGTTCATAACAGAGGCGCCATTCTTTCCCTTGGAGTAATTATGTCAACAAAGCAATATTAAACATGAGTAATCAGAGATTTCAGAGCTCACCTCAGTGAGATGTCTTTAGGTTTTAGTAACGCAAAGTCGACATCATATAAACTAATAATCTAGTAGTGTACATCCCAAGATGTATCATGTATGCAATTTTGATCTGATAGGGCTTGCAGTTACCTGGGAATAGACTTATCCAAAAACTTCAAACTAGTCACTCATCTGTACAAGAGGCCAAAGGACCTTGATTCACTTTTCTGATAAATTATACAAAGTATCACTTCTATTTGAAGCCTCTGAGTATCCTTTATCTATTTAGACAAGAGGCCCACGGGCCTTAAAGGTAGGGTTGGATACCGTTAAGGATGAAACGGTATGATGCCATACCGGTATTTTTGAAATGATACGGTATTTTTAACGGTACGGTACTATACCTTGATGAATGAGAATACGGGTTTATTTTAATGACAAATGTGCTTTCAATTATCACCGCTTATAAAAACATAGATAATCAGAGATTACAGAGCTCACCTCAACGAATGTTGTCTTTAAGTAAGGCAAAGTCACACAATTAACCAACAAAAAGTGTACATTCCAAATATGAAAATATTTAAGCAATTTTGATCTGATACTTTGCAATAGACCTACAAAAAAAAATTAAACTAGTTCTTCTTCATGAAAATGTAATCAAAATCCAGCATCTGAAGCAAATTTGAGAGTTTTCATCTCTTGATGCAACATTTGTGCAAGTTTGGTTTATACAATGTTATATAAGCCTTATAGTTTTTTGGTAATAGACCTGCACCCATAACTTTTACCTGGTCTATTATCTGAAAAATGTATGTCGAATTCAGCATCCGAAGCAAGTCCATTAGTGTGTATCCTAAGATGTATCGTCCATGCAAGTTTGCTCATTAATGGGCTCATAGTTAATTGGAAATGAAACCTGCATCAAAAACTAACATTTTCACTCATCCACAAAAAGTAGGTCAGATTCAGCATCCGAAGCAAGCCTGGTAGTATGCATCCTTAGATGTATCATCCATGCAAGATTTGTCATTAAAGAACTCATAGTTACTTGGAAATGAAACCTGCACCAACAACTTTTACCTGTTCACTCAGCCAGAAAATGTAGGTCAGATTCAGCATCCGAGCAAGCCCGGTAGTGTGCATCCTTAGATGTATGATCCATGCAAGTTTGGTCAACATAGGGCTTAAAGTTACTTGCAAATGAAACCTGCATTAAAAACTTTAACCTGTTCACTCAACCGGAAAATGTACGTCACATTCAGCATCCGAAGCATGCCCGGTAGTATGCATCCTTAGAAGTATCATCCATGCAAGTTTGGTCAACCTAGGTCTTATAGTTACTTGGAAATGAAACTTGCATAAAAAATTTTAACCTGTTCACTCAACCGGAAAATGTAGGTCAGATTCAGCTTCCGAAGCAAACTCTATAGTATGCATCCTTAGATGTATCATCCATGCAAGTTTGGTCAACATAGGGCTTAAAGTTACTTGCAAATGAAACCTGCACTAAAAACTTTAACCTGTTCACTCAACCGGAAAATGTACGTCACATTCAGCATCCCAAGCAAGCCCTGTAGTATGCATCCTTAGATGTATCATCCATGCAAGTTAGGTCAAAATAGGGCTTATAGTTACTTGGAAATGAAACCTGCAACAAAAACTTTAACCTGTTCACTCAACCGGAAAATGTAGGTCAGAATCAGCATCCGAAGCAAGCCCGGTAGTATGCATCCTTAGATGTATCATCCATGCAAGTTTGGTCAACATAGGGCTTATAGTTACTTGGAAATGAAACCTACACCAAAAACTGCACCAAAAATGTTAACCTGCTCCAAAACATTAACCTGGTCATTCCTTTGCTGAAATTGCAGCATCTGAAACTTTGACTGGTACAATGAAACACACTAGAACCATCTTCCATGCATGTCTAACCAATATAGGACATAGAAGTACTTAAAAAGAAAACTGCTCCAAAAAACTTAACCTTAACCTGGGACGCCGACGCCGACACCGACGCCGACACCGACACCGACGCCGACGCCGAGGGTATTACATAAGCTCCCCCCACTTCGTTGAGGTGAGCTAAAAACTTTCAATGTTATGATCTAAAATGTGTTAAATATATTTTATTTCTATAATTCAACCTTTTATTAAATGATGAACAAAACAAATTAATCTGAATCTTTATAAAATAAAAAATAATATAACAAACACCGCCGTCTAATTCTCTGCTAAATGACATTTTGCTTGGTATCACTAAACGACGAAACATGAAAAATGGAGAGAGATGCCATCACAAATTCGCAACGTTTTGCCTTTTTAATTGACAATTTCTATCAGTTTCTATTAATAAAACTGAAACAAGATTAATGTAATTTTTTTTAAAATACGTATTGGTTTTCCTCGAATATCGATCGGCACTAGAAAGGAAGTATCTTACTTAGTATTGATTTTGTTAATAGCCTACCCTTTCAATCCACAGAGAATTCCATTTTAGCGAGTCTGGAATCTTTTTCAAAAAATAATTTTAAATGAAGAAGTTTTTTTTAAAGAATTTTCCTATAAATTTCAAATTGATTCCCTATTGTGTATCTGCTCCACCCCAGAGGGTCATGATTTTAATAACTTAGAATCTACACTATCCCAGCATGCTTTCACATAAGTTTCAGTTTTCCTTGCCCAGTGGTTCTTAAGAAAAAAGATTTTTTATTGATCCCACTCTATTTTTGTCTTTTCTTAATTTAAATTACCCTTGTAAGGGGACTTGGACCTTCATTTAAATAATTTAAACTCCCTATCACCCAAGGATGCTTTGTGTCAAGTCTGAATGAAATCAGTCCTGTGGTTCTTGAGAAGAAGTTAAGGTTGTGAAAAGTTTACAGCTAGACGGATGGACAACAGACAATCAGTGATCAGAAAAGCTTACTTGGGCTTTCAGCTCAGGTGAGCTAATAATACTTGGATCTACATTTATACTCAAACATAGGTAATCAGAGATTACAGAGCTCACCTCAACGAATGTTGTCTTTAAGTAAGGCAAAGTCACACAATTAACCAACAAAAAGTGTACATTCCAAAAATGAAAATATTTAAGCAATTTTGATCTGATACTTTGAAATAGACCTACATAAAAAATTTAATCTAGTTCTTCTTCGTGAAAATGTAATCAAAATCCAGCATCTGAAGCAAATTTGAGAGTTTTCATCTCTTGATGCAACATTTGTGCAAGTTTGGTTTATACAATGTTATATAAGCCTTATAGTTTTTTAGAAATAGACCTGCAACCATAACTTTTACCTGGTCTATTATCTGAAAAATGTACGTCAAATTCAGCATCCGAAGCAAATTCATTAGTGTGCATCCTAAGATGTATCGTCCATGCAAGTTTGCTCATTAGAGGGCTCATAGTTAATTGGAAATGAAACATGCATCAAAAACTAACATTTTCACTCATCCACAAAAAGGAGGTCAGATTCAGCATCCGAAGCAAGCCTGGTAGTATGCATCCTTAGATGTATCATCCATGCAAGATTGGTCATTAAAGAACTCATAGTTACTTGGAAATGAAACCTGCACCAAAAACTTTAACCTGTTCACTCAAGCAGAAAATGTAGGTCAGATTCAGCATCTGAAGCAAGCCCTGTAGTGTGCATCCTTAGATGAATCATCTATGCAAGTTTGGTCAACATAGGGCTTAAAGTTACTTGCAAATGAAACCTGCACAAAAAAATTTCACCTGTTCACTCAACCAGAAAATGTACGTCAGATTCAGCATCCAAAGCAAGCCCGGTAGTATGCATCCTTAGATGTATCATCCATGCAAGTTTGGTCAACATAGGCTTATAGTTACTTAGAAATGAAACCTGCACCAAAAACTTTAACCTGTTCACTCAACCGGAAAATGTAGGTCAGATTCAGCATCCGAAGCAAGCCCGGTAGTATGCATCCTTAGATGTATCATCCATGCAAGTTTGGTCAACATAGGGCTTATAGTTACTTGGAAATGAAACCTGCACCAAAAACTTTTACCTGTTCACTCAACCGGAAATGTAAGTCAGATTCAGCATCCAAAGCAAGCCTGGTAGTATCCATCCTTAGATGTATCATCCATGCAAGTTTAGTCAACATAGGACTTATAGATACTTGGAAATGAAACCTGCACAAAAACTTTATCCTGTTCACTCAACCGGAAAATGTAGGTCAAATTCAGCATCCAAAGCAAGCCTGGTAGTATGCATCCTTTGATGTATCATCCATGCAAGTTTGGTTAACATAAGACTTATAGTTAATTGGAAATAAAACCTGACCAAAACTTTAACCTGTTCACTCAACCGGAAAATGTAGGTCAGATTCAGCATCTGAAGCAAGCCCGGTAGTATGCATCCTTAGATGTATCATCCATGCAAGTTTGGTCGACATAGGGCTTATAGTTACTTGGAAATGAAACCTACACCAAAAACTGCACCAAAAATGTTAACCTGCTCCAAAAAACATTAATCTGGTCATTTCTTTGTTTAAACTGCAGCATCTGAATCTTGGACTGGTACAATGAAAGACACTAAAGCATCTTCCATGCATGTCTAATCAATATAGGACATAGAAGTACTTTAAAAGAAAACTGCCCCAAAAAACTTAACCTTAACCTGGGACGCCGACGCCGACACCGACGCCGAGGGTATCACATAAGCTCCCCCCAACTTCGTTGAGGTGAGCTAAAAATACTAAATAGAAAA